CCACCACCGCCCGGCTGTTTTTAAAGACATGGTGGTATCTCCATGGAGGAATGCACCTGACAAAGAGCTGAGCTAGCCACTTTTTCCAGGAAATACAATTCTTACTTGAATAAACAATGAACAAAATATGATTATTCAGATTTGGGTATCTGGCAGACAGTTTTCTCAAATATAAATGACGTGAGCCTGTCATCTCAAGGAAAACAACTAATAGCATGTGTTGCCAATGATAAAATTTGAACTTTCAAGGGAAAATTCAAGTATTAGAAAGCTCATATCCATCACCATAGCTTGACAGCTTCAAATCTTACAGACTTCTAATGAGGTCACTGATGAGATTAGCAAATGCCATTTTTTTTTTTATATATACAGTAGAATGAAAGGTGGCAACATTTGGAAGGTTTGTTTGGTTCAAAACCAATATTCCACGGGTAAAAGACCCACTGAAGTCCAGAACAGGCTGCTTGTTACAATGCAAGTTACAATGAAAAGTCTTTGATGGGGTTTCATGTCCCACATTACAGTTGGCCTTCAAGAAACTATCATTTGTTGGCTTTTGTGTAATACAAACATCCAGTTTTGTTTTGTTTTTTAATCCACAGTTATCTAGAAAGCCTATTAAGTTACTCTTCTCTTTTGCAACTACATATGAGGCCAGAGTTTCTTGGTATTTGTTCTTTCTTTTTCTTTGGTGGTATACAGCTGTGTATAACTGGCCTCATGTCTGTGGGTGCACTTGCCCATACATGCACATGTGGTGGCTAGAGATCCACATCAGATATCTTTCCCCCTATGGCTCTACATAGTTTTTGAGACATGCCCTCTTTAGGGCTAGGGTTTCCATTTCATCCCTCCTCCATAAAACATGGTCAGGCCTGTCACAGCAGCAGCCAATGAATTTGGTACCAACTTCTGTGTTAGTTTGCTTCCTATTGCTGTGAAAAAAAACAAACAAACAAACAACAACAACAAAAAAACAAAAAAAAAAACACCATGACCAAAAAGGCAACTTGGGGAAAGAGGGGTTTATTTTAGCTTACAGTTGCCATCATGAGAGGAAGTCAGGAACTAAAGCAGAGCCATGCAGGAACAATGTTTACTGGCTTGCATTCCATGGCTTGCTCATTCTGCTTTCTTACACAACGCAGGACCACCTGCCCAGGGGTGGCACCACCCACAGTTGGGCTGAACCCTCTCACATCAATCACTAATCAAGAAAACACCCCCATGAGAATGCCTACAGGCAATCTGATGGAGGCATTTTCTCTACGGAGCTGCTCTGCTTGCCATGGATGCTGGGGATCCGACTCAGGTCCTCATACTTGCAGGGCGAGCACTTTACTCAGTGAGCCATCCTCCCAGGCCTCTTGCTATCTTTTAATCAGCAACATATGACAACCCGCTAAACATAAAAGCAGATGCAGTTTATTGTCTTTAAGGCAGACATTAAAGAAATGTGCAAAAGTATACAACCGTATCATTTGTGTCTCGACCTTTTTTGGAATTATGGCTATTACATATAAAATACACTAACCAGTAATATTCTTACTATTTTTCAAAACAAATTTATAGTATTCTTAATTTCTCAGCTTTCATTTATATTTTAGTGAGTACTTACAGATATAACCACATAAAGACATACAAAGAAGTACATTGAAAAAAATAGTGGACCTGGTGAGATGGTTTAGTGGACACTTGCCACCAAGCCTGACTATCTGAATTCAATTGCCAGAACTCATTGGGTGGAAGGAGAGAATCAACTCCAAACTGTCCTCTGACTTCCACACACACCTTGACACATGTGGGCCCAAATAAACACATATACACTCATGCTCTTTTAATATGTACATAATGAGAACAAAGTATCAGAAAGCTCTAAAACTGCCCAGCAATGTATATGTGTGTGTATGTGCATACAGAATACATATCATATGCTATATAATATACACATGATATGTATGTACATCTTATGCCTTTTCCCTTAGGTGATCAGCTACCACCCATTTGACTGTTCATGGACAGAACTAAAAGTTAATGACAATAATTAAATTCCAACGCACCAACTGTGTTCTTGGACAGCAACTATGACAAAACCTCTCCAGATATAAAGGGACAACCATCATCCTTAAGTATGAACAAGACTGGAAGGAGAGCTTTTCTGTTTAGAGACTAGAAAAATTAGTCTACCAAACACCAGTTCATAAAAGATATGCTTCTAATTTGTATTATTACCTATTATCCAATAATTTATCTTTCCCAATGAATTATCTTTCATTATACATGGTCAAAGGTTATGCATTACAGATAGGAAAGCTCTCCATTTGGGGTAACTATGCTCACTCAATACCATAATATGGTTTTGAATTTAAAAAAAAAAAAACAGGTACAAAATGTTCTGTATTATTTACTGTATTAACTATGATAACCTAGTTGTCTTGAACAGGTTCAAGAAATGTTTGGGTCTGTTTTCACATCTTTGAGATGAGGGATCTATGTTATATAATCTCTGAGAGACCTTTCCTAGCTGCTTGGGTAATCCTAAAAGGCCACAGCCCCGTGAAGAGAGAAGTATGAAACCCATGGGGAATATGTATGCACATAATGAGAAACCTTCAGACCTGGAGGTCGCAATGGCCAGACTCAAGAGTGTAATCCCTAGGGTACCAATGTCCTTGACTACACTGAGAATCCTTTCCTGCATAGTCAACCGCACAAGACCCCTTTAGGCCTGGGCTCTCTTGTTTATCACCAGTGGCAACACCAAAGGGTCTTCTGTTGACTATCTACCACCTCTAGGTGTCTATGCAAAGTAGGCAGCAGGCCAGTCTGGTGAACCTCCAATTCGCATTTTTACTTTGCAAAGACTCCATTACCCATCATCCACTGCTAGTATCTCTGGATTAACCGCTGGACATTCATGAAGCACCTACTATGTGTACTTTCCCCCCAGTGCGTATCAAGTTTTCCATCAACATCTGTTGACTTCAATTCTATTGCAAGGCCCGGAGAGGCTCCAAGGTCTTCAGCCATTAAGTGTTCTGTGTGGTAGGGAGATGAAAGGGAGAGAGGGAGCTTTCTCATGATCCTTGACCTAACCCTTGTCACTATGTTCCTCCCATTTGCGTGTGACACGTGGCTCCAATGCACTGCCAGGGTGGCCGGGACTGGGCTGAAGGCAAAAGGATGTGATAGGGGAGATGGGGACTTACCTGGGGAACCTCTGCTTCAGCTTCCTCAGGCTCTGCCTGGTGGGCGGTACAGACACTAGGCATTGGGCTATCTCCTCGTACTGGGCTTTGGTTAGTATCATATTGGGCCCAAGGGGAAAAAAAAATCACCCTTGGGCTCGTGCAGCCTTGGTGCCAGGAAGCGAGGGAAAGGCCGATCGCAGCACGACCCTGGGTCCTGCTCCTCCTTAGCTAGCCCCTATGCCCCCAAAGCACACCCCCTAGCTGCACCGCGGGGCGGAGACACGCTGCGTCCCAGGATTCACCTCCGCGGTTCAGGAGGGCTGTAGACCTGTTTGCGCCAGCAGTGTACTGAGCAGCCGCAGTAAGCCGGGCCGAAGGCAACTAGCCGCCATCTTAGGTAAGGGCAGAGCAATCAGGAAGTGGCGGCTGCGCGCGAAAGACTTTGTGTCTTTTAGGGGCAGGTGTCCTCAGCGTCACCTCTCTGAGATGGCACACAGAAGCTCACTGAAGCCACACTGATAGTTGCAAGAAACCAGGGAGGCCTGTGGCACAGTTCAGGGGGCGGGTCTCACAGGTGGTCCTCCAGCATTGAGCTAGAGCCCCGGAAGTCGTCTTCCAGAGCGCGGGATTTGAATTTGTGTCCAGACACGCCCCTTTCTTTCCGCCGCGGACACAGCCTGCAAGAAATTGGGTCCCATGAGGTGAGCAAAAGCTCAGCAGTGCAAAGCATCTGGGCAAGCATGCAGCTTGGCTTGTGCTGGGAAAGTTCTTTAGCCGCTCGCATGGAAAGCAATGCTGTTTTTGCTGAGAATTTAAATCCTGCGTCTTAAAGCAACTGGCAGTAGAATGTCAGTTTCACTCCCCACACCCCAAAAAGTATGTTCTTCATTCTGGCCCCCAAAAGAGTGGGCTGCCAAAGAATGTGTATAAGAATGAAACGCTGAGATAATTATTTTTTTCAATATGTACTGTGAATAGAACACAGCTCTCCTAAGTCAATATATTAGAGCAATAGCCCCTCTAACTCCTTTTTTAAAATACCTTTGCTTCTAACATGGACATATGTTGTGTGTGTTCTCTTCAAATTTAAACATTTTGAGCAAGTGAAAGAAGATGTTTTAGCACATTTAAACAGTTTATCGTAGCTTTCATTTGCTGTTACGCATAAATTGGAAGATTGGTTCAGATAAGACCCCTTTGATAAATTCCTTAATCCACCAAAGCCTCTGTTTCTTTAACTATATATATTTTTTAATTGATAAGGCTGGTTTTAAGAATAAGTAAGGCAATATATAGCCACATTATGGAATCACCCTAGATGTCAGTCAACAGGAGAAAGAATAAAGAAAATGTGATTTACAAACACCGTTGTAAAGCTTCAAATGATGTCATCTTCTGAGAAAAGGATTCAAATGAATATTTTGTGTTTCCTCTCAGTTTTACACAGATTACAAATACATGTGTGTGTGTGTGTGTATTTACACATGTACACACATATACATACACATGCAAGAAAGCAGAGGAAGACCAAAGAAGTAATGAAGCTAGGAGAGTGTATGAACATGATATACATGAAAATTTATATTTGTGACATCTAGCACTGTGTACAGGACCATGTGCCAATAAAAACAATAAGATAGTACAAGTAAAAATTTACTTGCATAGCGTCCAGCAAATAGTCTATGTAAAATAAGTTAAGTAAGTAATAAGTAAACTGGATAGGATATTTACTAGATAGTGCTTTGTGGATTCCCTTGTAAAGACTCCCTTAATCCCCATAACTTCCCTTGGTGCAGGTTCTATCCCCATTATGGCCTCCTCCTTCCTTTGTACAGACTGAACAAAGGCATGAAAGGTTAGGGAACTTCCCAGAGGTCATGAGAACAAGTAAATAGCAGGAGTGGAATTCAAGTGAAAATTGGAATGTGCTGTTGTGGGCTCTCAACAATGCTTAATCACTTCATGGGACAGTCGCTCTTCTAAACCCTAAGGTTAAGGTTGTTTTTTTTAAGTAAATACTCTAATTTGTTTTTTTTTAATCATATTTTAGGGGCTCTTTTTTCCCCCTCTAAAACATTTTCCCCCTTAAAAACGTATTTTCTCAATCGTTTCAAAAAGTCCAGTACCAGCAGTAGATCCTAAACTGAGCAAGCATCGCCAGTTTCTAGATCTTTACATCCGAATGTTTCCTTCCCATATGCTTTACATCTAGCTCTGGTTGTGTGACATTAGTACATAACTGTTATTTATGGCAGCAGAGCCTGGAGTTGCCACCTGGCTAGTTTGTTGCTGACCCTGCCATGACTTTGACATGAAAGCTGACTGACGATAAGCAGACACCACTTGGCTGCCCATTCCTTTCCCTTCACAGCTTCACTCCTTCCAATTCACAGCCATCGGATTTTTATAGAAAACATCAGTTCAAGGATGTTTGAACAAGGTATTTTTATAGCAACTCCTCTCCCTGGCTCTTGTCCTGCGCTCACCCTCACAACCCTTAAGGAAAATGCCAGATTTGTTTTTCTTTTCCTTTCTTTCTTTTTTTTTTTTTTTAATTTTTAACATGCTGGCAGTTTACTATTTTGACCCAAATCCAGTAGATTATTTAGAGTTAGTGCTGGGAGAAAAGGAACGTTATGTTGCTATTGGCAGTGACAGTAGTGTTGTTTATTAAGGACAAAATAGAAGTTGGGCAGAGCTGTTGTGTTGTGACTTTGTTGGTTTCTTTTCCTCCCGAAGTGCTTGCGATGGCATGCACGTGAGGCCTCCTTGCTTCCTGCTTCTGCCTTCTCACTCCACTCTCTTCTCTCATCCTACCCTGTGTCCCTCATCTGCTGTTGTTTCTTCTAGGGCTTTTTCTCTGCAAGTTTGTGCCCCCGTTTCTCAGTCAGCCAGAAATACCATGTCCTCACTAAGAAATGGCAGGTTATGGAATAATAGCACAAAACTGAAAACTGAAACAAACAAGAAACCAATCTGGCCATCTTCCTATTTGGAATTGACCGTGGAATATCTGATCTTCAACAACTGACAGCCTTTCTCCTCCTGAATGTTCTGACTATAGCACAAGCAAAGGAATGGCGGGGTCTCATCTGAAAGGAAAAATAACCTTAAAAAAATATTGGGAAAGTGTAGGAAAGCATACTCAGAGGGAAAAAATAAGTATGGCCTGGTATAACACCCTGGAAGAAGCTACAGTTCTACAAAGTGAAGGGAGTTGATCAGATTTCTTTGGACCAATTCCTGGTTGATATAAAGAGTGGACATCTTTGAAGAGGGATGGAGTGTGGAGGGGAAGCAGGTGATTCTTTCAAGAAGGGCACTAATACAAAGGGGGAAGTTAAGAATGAGCCATGTTATAGGCCTGGTGAAATTATTCAGACTGGAGCAAAGAGTTCTAAGCAGAGTGAAGAGTGTCTGACCTTAAAAAGACTCAGCCACATTTTCAAAGGGTCTACCAAATCTAATGAGTGTTTTTTTTTATTTTATAATCTAATTTAATTTTACATATCAGCCACGGATTCCCCTGTCCTCCCTCCTCCTGCCTCCCTCCCCCCAATTCACCCCCCCATTCCCATCTCCTCCAGGCCAAAGACCCCCCTGGGGATTCAGCTCAGCCTGGTAGATTCAGTTGAGGTAGGTCCAGTCCCCTCTAATGAGTGTTTTTAAAGTAGTGGGCATACTATTTTTATTGTATTGAAAACTCTTATCTATTCATGGGGTCTCTGTCAACGTTTACAGTGATAGTTTTAAAGAAAAGTAATGAAAGTCTATTAACTGAACATGGGGAAAGAAGAATGCTAATGTTTTTTGAGAATCTATTGTGGGCAGTTATTATCCCCTGTGGTGATTTGAAAGAAAATGGCCCCCACAGGGAGTGGCACTATTAGGAGGTGTGGTCTTGTTGGATGAAGTGTGTCACTGTGGGGGCGGGCTTTGAGATCTCTTTTGCTCAAGCTTCCCTCAGTGTGATTCTCAGTTGACTTCCTCTTGCCTGCAAGATTTAGAACTTTCAACTACTCCAGTACCACTTCGGCTTGCACACCACCATGCTCCCCAGTGTCATGATAATGGACTGAACCTCTGAAACTATAAGCAAGCCACCCCAATGAAATGTTTCCTTTATAAGAGTTGCCATGGTCATGGTGTCTCTTCACAGCAATAGAAACTCTAACTAAGACATCCCCTTACTACCTCATATCACTTAATCTTTACAATTCCACTGTCCAGTAAAGCTGCTGGTTTTCATACTGGAAAATGAAGCTAATGATAATAATGGGGGTTGGGCTTGGAAAGATGGTTCATCAGCTTCGAGCACTTGCTGCTCTTGCAGAGGACCTGGTTTTGGTTCCCAGCACTTGCGTGGTATCCCCCATAACTCCAGTTCTAGGGGATCCAATGACCTCTTGTGACCTTCATGGGCATCAAGTACACATGTGGTGCATATACATACATGCAGGCAAAACACTTATACATATAAAATAAAAAATTTTTTAAAATTTTAAGAAGTCTTAGCGGTAATGTCTAGCTACTAAATTGTAAAATCATGATTTGAACCCAAGTTAATTTGATGATGAGATACCACCCAATGTAATCCATTTTTTGAACCAAAGTTAAAATCACGATACTTTTCACCTTTCAGTGACAAATCATTTTATTCTAATCTCAAAGCAACAAAAGCTTCTGATAGTCAGTGGAGATTAAACAACTGTGAGGAGACCTGAGATAAGTACTCAACTTTATGACTGGAGAAAAGGAAACATTAAAAAAAAAAAAAAAAAAAAAAAAAAAAAAAAAAAAAAAAAA